ACTAGGCCATGGTCTCATGGATCAGACAGCCCAGCCACTGGGTTAATTTAATCTACTTACCTCTGACATCTTACATATATAATATAAAATAATATGTACTGCGGGGCTCTGTCTCTGTGTGATGCATAGCAAATCTGATGAAATCCTGGTTGGTTGGATTGGTTTGAAGGTAAATCTAGGCCCAAATCTTAAATGTGAAAACCTCAAGCTCGGGTCTAGTATAATCCAATGTCAGACATAAGTTTATCAAAGGCCCAAGCAACAGGATTTGACAATTTTCACAAGTTTCTAGCAAATTAGCCAGTTTTTTTTTTTTTTACCACTTTTTTAATGGAAAAGAAGTGGGTCTAGAGAAGGAGGGTAGCAGGCCCATCAAGCATAAAAAATAGATATAGTCAAACAACCAAGAACATCTAGACTGATCTAGGGCAGTGTTTGGAAGTGTGGGTGTTTTTTTAATAAATGCTGTCACATACGTGTCATTTTAATATTTAGCCCATCATATTGATCTGTGTATATAAAGACTCGCAAAAGCTGATTTTGATTTATGTGCATGTCCACCGTTGAGGGAAGATTCATTTTAACCTTTTTCCCAACGGTTAAGTAATATGGTGCCTAATAGTGTCTAGTGGCGTCTATTTGTCAAAAAACGGTTTCATCATTATTTTTCTCAGTTTTACAAATAAATCAAATACAAACACTTAGTAAATAAACAGAAATTATACCAAATACATACCTAAGAATTCAACAGAATTACCAACATTGACTAACCAGTCAACCGCCTCATTAGCTTCACTAAGCACACAATTATAAGAAACCTGCAACCCATGGACCCCGATGATGAAAGCACATTCTTCAATCAGTTTCCTGATTCCCCATGATGGGTCAATCTTCTTCCGTAGGCACTCAATTATCAGCAGTGAATCTCCTTGGATGATAACTCTCTCACACCCATATTTCTAGCCATTTTGTGAGCTTCAAGGGCGGTCCACGCTTCAGTCATGCTAACTGTTGCAATACGAATGGACACCACAACCGTTATCTTTCTTGCAACATTTGTTAATAGTTTGTAAATTTATTAGATCAAAGGAGTATTGTAAACCCCATCACACCAATATAAACATGTTCTTTTTTTTTTCCTTTAATACAAAAACCTACCTTTAATGGTCAAGAACATGTACGATGATGATGTAGACATAGGATGGATTGCAATTATATATGCATCTAAATTCACTGTTGTGCCTAGATGTCGTACAAAGTGAGGTCACTGGATCGGTAGATGCCGGTTCGCTACAGAGAAGAGAAGACTGTCTTCCTCAAGGCCCATCGCTTGGTGCGACTGTGACCATAAAATCTCGGGTCGACATTGAACAAGCTTGAGAACATGGGCTTTTCAGTCTGAGAGCGGCCATTTGGTGCAAAACAGCCAAAGGTTAGGTATGGATATCAGTATATGGTCCACCACTTCCAACATTGGGTAATAGCCCTTTTTACAAACAGATAGAATTCTTTCACTCAAGTAAAGTGAGTTTTACTGCAATTTTGAATTCTCAACAACTGTCAGAACAAAAAAAAAAAAAAAGGGCAAGCTTCTGTATTTTCTGGGCTTAGTGGACTCCAGAAATCAGATGATGAATTTCAGTAAAAAGTTACGAATTTTTCATCATGCAGTTCAGAATTATGAATGAGCCAAGCGATCCCCTAAACTGCTAGAAGCTGGAATTGACAAGTCTGTGCGAGGCCTGAGGGTAATGCTCAGAGATATCCCCCTCTAAACATGTAGAAAAAAGGGTTTAGTAGAATAAATGAGCCAAGCGTCTCTTTCTTGACTGCAGCTCCAGCTGTGCTTGTCCTTGGAATGGTTCTAATGGAGAGCAACCATCTTTAGAATTTAGTACCTATGAATGATTTTAGTCCATGAATTTCCCATCTACTTACTTTTACCCCGGCTCATTCCCAAAACCGACAGAAGGTACCAAAAAACCTAACATATTTTGTTCCTGGCTTTTAACTGCTTATAGAACAATAAGGGAACAAGGAAACTGTCGTCTTATAAGCATTCACTGTCTAGAGTGGAAGCTCAAGCCCACTGAATGCACTGTTGAGAGTACTTCTGAAGACCTGTTTGGCTTGTGCACATAATTTCAGAAACCAGTCTGTTTATTATTCATGGATGATTTAGGATATCATTAACTACAGATAGAACTAAAAATGTAACTGGTTATCTTCGTTGTAACAGTTTACTGCCTACATGTACTGTCAACTGCCCATTAATGCTGTCAAAAGCAACACATCATCTGGAAGAAATACCTCAATCCAACTCAGGTGAACGAATTCTGGATTTAGCCAAACACAGAATTCTGTCCCATCCAATTAAAATTGAACACGCCACCCTCTCCCTCTTGGCTTTCAAATTAACGGAGTCCAAAGCTAACAGTAGTCTCTACTCCAAAGTCCAAAATTTTATAAATCCAATTAATCCTCCCTCCCCACCGTCCCCTACACAGCACTGAACTGCCCCCATGAGTGCCCAAATCTTCACCGTCCATACAACACTGCCGTCAAAAATGCCGCTGCAACCTTCGCTTCTGGAACCGCCACTCTCTCTGGCTCTTTCTCTCTGCTAAGATTTTTCTTGAACTCTGCGAGAGTTTTAATGGCGGACTCTTGAAAGATTAAGCAACCATTCTGAGAGAAAAAAGGGTGCCATGGCATTGCCCTTCTCTATGCCGAAAATAACTCATCGTCAATGCTGATGAAGTCAGGAACGGGTCACACCAAAACCAGAAAGAACGGGTGTTCTTCAATGATCAATGATGCGACATTAAATGATGCTAGAGTTTCATCGCTTTTTGACAGAAGAGAAATGATGCGGGGAGGAGAAAACCCTCTTCTTCTCCGGCAAGGATTTTCAATGACGAGTGGAGCTCCTTGAGCACCTACTGTATTTCAGCCTACGCAGGTCCGGATTTGAAACTTTGAGATTTTTTTATCGTTTAGGTCGATGAATATATAATCGTAAAACATAGATTTAAAGGCTTGAATAGTGATGTTTTGTTATTCTTCTTCCTCGCCCTTCTGTATTTGGGATCAACTAGATGAATTTCTCAATCCAAAAATTTTAAAGAATTTTTTTTTATTTCTTAAATAAATCTTTTTTTCTCTTTCTCTTGGAGTTCAAATCCACTGCATGAAATTCCCATAAATAAATTTTAGGTCTAAATTGATGGCTTTTTTCTGAAGCTCAAGATCTCCACCTGGTCATTTCTGCAAATTGCTTCATTCCTGAATATTTTCATAGGCTCGGTGCTGTGTAGTGTGTAGGGACGGGTGAGAAGGAGGAAAAGAGAAAGAAGCGGGAGGGTTTAATTGAATTCATAATTTTTGGAGTACAATGCCATTAGGTTTGGACTTTGGACTCGTCTGTTTGAAATGTAAGAGAGAAGGAGAGTGACGTGTTCGATTTTAATTGGATGGGACAGAAATTTTAGAGACAGATGAGAACACCACAGAGAGAGGAATTGCCTGCAGAAAGGCGAACTAATCATACAAATGCACTTGTTGCATGGTGGCTCTTCTATCTACTATTATCTTTAGCAGTGAAAAGCCAAGATTCCAGCTGTTGGTCAGAGGAATTGACTAGTTAGTTTGTTCTACCAAACAAAACTCATGGCTTGAGGATGGAAGGGAAAAGACAATCCGGGTGATAGTTGGAAGAAGCATACAGGATTTCAGTTCACTGGTTAATTGACGGAAAGCGAGTAATTCTGAAAGTAAAACACATGGAACAAAGAAAATGCTGCTAAGTGCTAACTACTACTTCTGGCTGATTAATAATGTTGTAGATTACCCAGAAGCATGCCATGCAGGTGGTGACTGTCTCATTTACTTCACCTCGTCTACATCTCAGAAGGGCCAAAGTTTACTCTCATTTACTGCACCTCGGCCTACATCTCAGAAGCCTTCCCCACTTTCAGAACATTGTCTACAGACTTTCATTCAGCAGATAGGGATTCATCGCCCTCTGTCCAGAAGAATGTAGGTACCTGAACTTGTCTCAAGGCCAAGACATTCTGATCACGGACAGGGTGTCAAAACCACATTTATTTGTCATGTTTGGTAAAAAGTGGGTGAATGGTGACCCCTCGGTCAAGTTTTTTGAAATTTGGCTGTTGTAACTTGTGAAGCCTTATTTCCCTTCAGTAGCCATGTATTAAGAAAAAACAGATGCCACTTTCCAGAATAAGGGAGCATGCAAATCTTGTATCATTCATAATTCCTTGCATCTGAACAGGGGAGCATGCAAATCTTAAGTACAGTGCTCTAATGAAGCTTAATTGGATTAAACTAATCATAACAGGTACACATGAACATGATTTGGATGTCTGCTTCAAAAGTAATCCCCGCCCCCCCACAATTTACAGCCAAGAAAATGGGTTTGATGAGGGATGTCAAGCAACTCAAGCAATTTAATGTAGTAAATACCAATACACAGGAAACAAATCAGGATCATGAGGGTTTGACAAAAAGTACAACAGCTCCAGTTAGAAGAAGTGATTTGTTAGAAGTTGAAAGGGCTAGAAGAGTTAAGGATAAATAAAAAATGACACGAGTAGAAGTAGTAAAAAATGATTTAAACACTAATAATTTAACAGTGAATATGGTTTTAAATATAACTGATTGGTAAAACAGGATTCTTGTAGCCGATCCCATATAGTTGGGATAAAACATGGATGATGATGATGATGAAATACCATCACACAGGAGAAAATTGGAGCAAAGCCATGCGACTCGTTTTGCATATTCCAGTGGACCATCCTGTATTTTCATCTCAGAAATCAGTTAGATTTCTACTATTTTGATTTTCTGAAAATAAAAATGTCCATAACACAATCTTCTGCTTCTGGAACTCGTTTCCCCCAATTGAAAGGAAATCCCTTGGCTTATTCATAAAATCAAAAACAACTTAAGAAGATGCTATCGCCATCCAACAAACAGCCTTAAAAGACAGGCAGGTAAAGCATTATTTTCTATATCTATGATATGTGAAAGGAAACCACAGTTTACAGTACAAAAGAGGATACAATTCAAATAAGAAGCAGCACATATTAATAAAATAAGCATAAAGGAGAAGGATGAGTTCCTACATGGGATTAAGAATTTAGTGGAAACAAAGGAAAAGACAGAGGACCTCTGAGATTCTTTCTCTACTCAAATACAGGAATTAGCAATGTAGAAGACAAGCATTAATCTCGATCCCCCGGAAGTAACCGCCATAAACTAACAACGAATATCTAGAAGCAGAAAACCCAAAAAACATTCCCCAAATCGCTAACCCTCTTCAAAATCCATCTGAATGAGACACCCCACTTCCCGTCCTTTCTCTTTTTTTTTTTTTTTTTTTCTTTTCCCTCAAATTTTGGGTAGAAAAAAAAATCTGAATAAGCTATAGAATCAAGCCTGTGAATCGGTCTTCCTACTGGAACCTTCTCCTTCCCTCTCCTCCAGCAGTCTTCCAGCCTCCTCATCCGCCTGCGTTGCCTTCTTCTGCGCTTCCTTCGCCTTAAGCGCCTGCAACTTTGAGTGGTTGTAATATGCAACACCCAAGAAGGCAAGACCATACCCAAACAAGTTAATTGGAGTCACAATATCCTTGATCACCGACCATGAGAATGCAATCAATAGCCAGTCCTTCACAACTCCAGCAACATTCATGGTGAGTGCCGAGGTCTTCCCAACAAGCAAAAACACGGCAAGATTCAATGCGAAGGCGCAGAACGAATTGGTCCCAAAGATCAAGAAATCAAAGTGAAAGCTTGACGTCTGCTTCAACACAGGAAATTCGACGAGTACCCACGGGACAAACAAGAAGACAAGGCAGCACGGAGCAACATAGTAAAGAGATGTAATTGGGTTAAGAGTGATTCCCTTAGAAGTCAACAAGATCTGGATCATGACCAAACGCGTTGCTTCGAAGGCGACGGCGCCGAGCTGGAGAATTACGCCCCAGCTATCGAAGCGGGCTTCACCGTAAGCGGCAATTGCAACACCAAAGGAGATGGAAACCATGTTGGCCATGGTTTCAGACTTGAAATTCTCCTTCTTGAGGAGGACACCAATGGAATAGACGGCGACGGGCATGAGGGCCTTGAGCATTTGAATGAAGGAGACGGAAAGATAGATGTAGGCGGAGTTAGAGAACCAGAGGCTAAGGGAATAGAGAGCTCCGATGGGGAGGACAGAGGAGACATAGAGATCGCGGGACATGGAGACGGGCTCGACAAGCTTGAAGACGCGAACGAGGAGGAAAGCGAGGGAGGAGCAGAAGGCCATGTGGATCATGGTGAGGGAGATGGGGAAGGGCCAGTTGTAGAGCTTCTTGTCAAGTATGTACTTGTTGTAGACGATGACAGTGAAGCTGAGGAAGATCCATATCCCAACGTAGGCGTAGGATAGCAAGATCTTCTTCACGATGCTCTCGCTCAGAGATGCCCCCTTCCCCATTGCTTCTGAAAACCCTAGACCAAGAACTGACTGATGAGGCGATGGAATGAAGCGAGTAGAGATCAGGACTTCGGGAGGGTGTAGGATAAGAGGGGGAGAAGAACTGGTCAATCTATAGCTGTTTGTTTTTGTCTTCTGAAGAAGACTTTTGAGTTTTATTTCTCTCGCCCCCTGAGAGAGAGAGAGAGAGAGAGAGAGAGAGAGATGGGGGGAAACGAAGACTGGAAGGGGAAGTTGTTTGGAGGATGCAGAAAACTGGAAATGTTGTTAAGTAGGGGTGGGGCCTTAGATGGGCTAATGGGCTTACTGTTTATATGGGCCATTAGCGATCTTTTTCCAAAGGAATGACTTTCCCTTCATTAAATAAAAATAGGGCTGTCAATGGGCCGGTTTTATACTAGAGATGGTAATTTCACCCGTACCCCTGGGCCGATTATATTATAAAAAGGTAATATATAATTATTAATATATGCTAGTATATATTATTTTATACTATATAATATAAAATAGTTCTAGGTAGATTTAAAAAATAAAAAATAAATTAATTAATAAGTGTACAAGTAAGAATGACCGGAGCAGGGTGGGACAAAGTCGGGGTTCTCCATTCCTCATGGGGATGAAGATGGGGTTAGGATTTTTAGCTCTGTTGGTGTTTAAGGCAGAAACGGGATGGGGAATTTGAAATCGGAGTCAAGCACGAGACAGGCAAAACCGGCTCCTGCCCCGCCCCGTTGGCATTCTTACTCCACACAACCAAATCGAACCGCTTGAACTAGAAAGGCAAAACCTGCTTCTGCCTTTCTAGTTCTTGCCTGTTCTAAACCAATTAAGACGCAAACTAATTATCGCTTGAACTGGTTATCAGTTTCTGCCATTCTAGATCTTGCCTGTTCTAAACCAATTAAGACGCAAACTAATTATTGAGTTAATAATATATAAAGGTTACCAAATTTTATTAGATTATCTCTATTAACATACAAATTAGATAGATAATATATAAGATAATTTTGGTTAGAATCACTTGATTTATTAACATATAAGGCCCGACCCATTGAGGAACACCCCTCGCTACAGCAGGGCAAGGACATAAAGTATGAATAGATGAGCTAAGCAAAACAGCCAAACAGGAGGGAGAATTGAATGATTTTCATGGTTAAGGTCCTTAAGGATCTGTGTCCTTTATAGTTGTTCCCTAGTAAATGAACCGGTCTTCCCACTAAATATAATAAATGGTACTGTTATTATTATTTTTTTTAAGGCATAAATGGTACTGTGATTAGTTATTACCACTAAAATTGTATTTTACCCTCTAATTTAAAATAAAAGAAAAAAACACAAGATAGACATTGAGCTTAACGGCTCAGTTAGGCAGTTGGTCCGGTTTGTCCGGTGGAACAATCAAAGTCGTTCAGAGCCCATGACCCGAACGGCTATCCGGTTCACCAGTGTGACGAATACCATTCCATCCGTGTCAAGTGGTGTATTGACATATTGTATATGAAAACGATGGTTTTACCCCTTGCCCACGCAAAAGAAATGGGCCCACTAAGAAAAATACCGGGCCACAAGTGGTCTTATCAAAAAGGATGAGCCTCGAGGAGGCCCATTAATGAATCTCCCATCGTCACGAAACATTTACTGGGTGAATCGAATGACGTGAAAGAAGTGCAGGGGGGAGATTCTGATCGGATGGTGAGGAATCTACCCGTGTCTGAAGATATTTTATATGGTGGGCCCATCCCTAATGCTTTGCGTTAATGAACGGTCATAGATTCCTGCATCCTACCTATCTAACGCTCACTTTGCAAAAGTCTGGATGACTGGATCACAATTTTTCTTCCAAACAATACTAGATCTCAATATCTCAAAGTACATTAGTACTGTTTTAATTAAATTAATAAATGAAATCCCTTCAATTGCAAATCAACACATGAAATCCCTAATTTGCAAATGAAGTCATCTTTTTTTTCTTAAATTTACTCCATGGAGGAGAGATGGTCACCTTCAATTTTATTAATTAATTACAGGTCAGGTCAGAACCAAATAAAACGTTTTCTGAAACTGGTGCAACACGACTGTGGTGCAGTCATAGTATTGAACTGTCAATGTTCAAAAGGCTTGACTCTGAATCTTTGGGTTGCGTTTGATTGCTGTGCAATTTTATTTGCATTAGTGTAAATTAAAAATATGCATATTCTAATTTAATTTTGTTTTGAGCTTGATTATAAAAAGAAAAATTATTGCCAATCAACTGGTATCATAAAAAATATGATCAATGAGGAGGTATTTATCAAATTTCATTGGGGTGCTTTAATTGGTCAAAACTCTACTAATACTATGTCTTTCTCGTATCATAGGTTTTTCCTTGCTTTATTTTAATTTAGATCTTATTTTACTTCATTTATACACAATCAAATAAAATAAGATGAAATTTAAAAAACAAATAAATCCGAATTTACATTCAAATCATTTTAAATTTGCATCAATACAAATAAATTTGCACTGCAATAAACACAATCAGGTTTTATTTGGTTTTGGGGTTTCTACATGAAACATTTTTGGTTGATGAGTGAGAGATTTTCTTTTCTTAAAATGAAACATTTTGGATTGACATTAGTCAATGCAAATTGTTATTTCTACCTAAAACGTCAATTTGGTAGTTTCAATTATAAACATCAATGATCAACCCTTGCATTCTTGTAACTGAAATGGACTAAACATATTTTTCAACCCAAAAGGTTTGACATTAAAAATAGCAATGGTACTTAACCTAAATTACTTTGATATTCAAAAATTCTTTATATTTTATAAATTTAGAATTTTCCTTCCATGCTCCCTTAAGCTATGTTTGGTTTGAAGGAAAAATTAGGGAAAGGAAAGTACCAAACGCAGCCTTAGTGGTGAATAAGCTTAGCTTAGACTGAATTAGTCATTAGAAATGTCACATGGAGTCGTGCTGATTATTCTCAAAATTTTATTGAGATGATTATTTTATGTCTAAAAAATTTTTTATATTCCAATAATACCCCTAAATCTGAATTATTTTTAGAATTGGAATCATTTTCTTCAACTGCTACCAAGTTTTCTTTTATGTTTTTTCATCTTTGGCCGACCGAAAACTTTGAATTGAATCATACTGAAGTTTGGCTTGATGGAATAAGTCAACTAATTATGCTACCTAACCAAAAGGATTGTATCAAAACCTAACTATATATTTATTTATTCATTTACTTATTTTTAAAAACGTTGTGCCCTTAATCCTATGTACCTGCAAAGCCACGTGGCATATATAGAAATGTCACGTGGCAGATATGGGAGGTGCCACGTCAAAGCTGATATATAGTCAAAGTTGAACGTGTAAATGTGCAATTATTTATCATTCATGCATGAACGTGACAAGGTTACGTTATTAAGCAGTTGTTAAGTTGTATTAAGTTATTAATTTATTAAACATTTTTCAGTTTGCTCTCTCTCTTAAGCATTGCCTTCTTAGTTTGGATCGCTCATTAATGCAATTTTTTTGTTTTTTTTTTTTTCTTATAAAACAGGATCACTCATTGATGCATTGATCCACAATGAATGAGAACGAATGAATGAGTGGTCAAACTGTTCAAACTATCTAACGGTTTTGGCCATTATTTATTTTTTATTATTTTTTTATTAGAATAGTATTTATTCAGTTCAAGTGATCGGATCATTCGACCCGAAAATCAGACCTCTGACCGATTCATTGCCCGCTCAATTTTAAAAACCTTGTTTGACTCATTTAATAATTTAATAAGACTTAGGTGTTACTCGGACCTGGGTATTCTTTGGTAATGCCCATGTGGGTTCACCGTTGGATGCTTGAACACAAGAGATTTTTCAATGGAGTGGGTCTATTCAGAACTGAATTACTGAACCGAATGAACCGGTTATATGTGTGCTGATTATGTGGTTTGTATGCCGATTAATAACCGGGTTGGGACTTGGGAACTGCAATACGTGTGTTTTGCTGAACGATACATCTTTTTCAGTTAAGAAAATTTATATCTTAATGATTAATATCTGAGTTGAGATGGCCGAGTTGATCTAAGGCGCTAGATTAAGGTTCTGGTCCGAAAGGGCGTGGATTCAAATCCCACTCTCAACAAGTTATCTTCCTTTTCACATCCTTCAAAAGTATGCTTCCCAGATTAAGGTTCTGGTTCACACCGTCTAATAGTCTGGTTCGAAACAGACGGCCCATTCTTACAAATAAATTAAAAAAATAAAAAGCGATTAAAAATCGTTGACGACCGCTAAACCGCTTAGGTCAATGGGTTGTTGACTTTTTCAACGGTTTTTGGTCAAAATTGGGTTTGGGGTAAAACGGAACTGCTTGCCTGAATAGTTCCCAGGCCGAACAGTCCGACCATCTGGGTCAATGGCAGTTCGAAAACCTTGAACTACATAGTTAATCATAATTATCTAATTTTTGCATTTTATATGATAAATATATTGAAAAATGCATCAATGAATTAATATTAACCAATAAATATTAATTTTTTTATAAAAACAATAGTAAAATAATTAAAAATTTTAAAAATATATTTTAAATATTATTTTATTGATAAAATATTAAAATTTTAAAAAATTAAAAAATTAAGTAAAATAATTAATATTTTATTAACAAAAATATTAAAATATAAAACAAACAATAAGGTTTCAACCTTTGAGGGAAAATATGAAGTAGGGGATCAAAAATCAAGTGTAGACGATCCCTAACCACGAGATTTTGCCATAGATGAGAAATTAGAGCTAGCGTGGACCGATTCCATCCACAACCTCTGCAGAATGAGTGTTCATTCCGTGGACGGGACCGAAGATGAACACAGTGTAAATTAGCTTAGTTGGCCAATATAATGGGGTCCCCATTCATCAATACTCCAGACCTTAACATATTTCAAATTAAGGAATTTTATTGTCTCTAGTTATTAAATGGACCTGTTCTTACTTGATAACCTTAATGCTTAATTAAGGATAATTAATTGGCTACTTAAGGAAATAGACAGTAACACACCCACCTACGCACAGAAACTCAGAAATTTGAATCAGGGAAATTGAACTAATATGTTCATATAGTCCAACGGTAGTCGGTAGACCAATGAAGAGACCACACGTTTGGAGTGAGTAAATGATTGATCTGGATAGGTTTCTTGTTTGCTTCTCGCTGAGTAAAAGTTGTTTGGTAGAGTTACAGCAAGCAATTGCTGTTTCACGCATAA